TGGGGTATAGTCACCCCCTTCAGCATCAATCTATTGAAAAGGTTATTATCTTGGCCATTTATCACAATCCAATTGCTTACTAAGGTTTCGGCGCCTTCAAGCACAGTACCGTAAAGAATGGGGTCTTTTTGAAACAAAGTTCCCGTAGCCGATGGTTTAGATACTTCATTGGTTTGGATATTTCGACCTGTCCATGGTTAGTTGTTGTTTCATACTCTGAACAGAACATACCATAAATTGATACCCACGCTTCAGCAGCGTTATATGAGAGCTCATTTGGGGCAATTCTTACAACTTCACCATAGATATCATGGAGGCGTCTTATTTCAAGATAGAGATTTCCTCGTGCAAGTTGGTAACAATAATATATCCGAGATATTCTGCAATACCAAGGACCTGGAAATGATCGCAGGGGATGAAAGCATAAATTGTAGCTGACATATATCAACAAGATACTAGACTATCGTTGAGTTAATAAATGTCACGGGAGACTGGTAGTGGCACAGTGAAAATTAGGATTTAAAATTTACCAAAATCCAAGGGAGCCAGAAGATATCCAGAGCATCCGTAAAAATCATCATGAAACGGGGATACTTTGACAAGTATCAATAAGAGTTCTCTCGTCCAGAGGTCTTTCCATAAATCAATTAACCATTGGACTTTTGTAATTGCGTCAGATTCTTGCCAAAAAGGAGTTGAAGTGTATGTCGGTATCCAATAGCGTATTAATGCGCGATGTGGTCTTATTATTGTCCTGATTGGAATCGGCTGTCCACAATATGGTTCGAGGCTTGCGCTGCCGGTGCAGAGTAATGTAGACAAGGATATGCTCTCCCAGCACCACGGAATCGATCGATGTTCGTCCCGAATATTTTCTTCTCAAAGTTTCCCGAAATGGCTGGTCAGCAGCCTATCGTTCTTCGGTATCCCTGAGCCACAAAATACCAAAACGGCGGCACGCTCGGCTCTTGCATGAATCCTTCGTCCACCGTTGAGTTCGTTAGCAAGTCCGCCGTTGTGGTCCGGACCTGCCTGGGTGTTGCAGCAAAACACACACGTGTCGAGGTTTTATAGGTGTGGTTCCCTAGACTTAAGCACGAGCGGATGTAAGTCACAAACTCCCGCTGAAGATAAGGAGCGTGCCGTACCGAGAACACCGTCTGGTGGTATATTGCATGCATTTACTGCAGTGGTGGTATGGTGGGAAAGAGGAAAGTACCAATTGGACTCGTGAAGCAGGTTCACGATTACGAGAAGCTGGAAAATCAAGTTCTTCCAGAACCCTGCCTTTAACTGTCAAAGGCTCAAAACGCCCCGCAAACCATGCCTAAACCTTGTTCGTATTTGCTCCGAACTCCACTCGATGCAAGCCAGATCCCGGCACATATAACTGCTGGTAACGAATCCATCGTTCCGTGTGTCTGTATTGGATATGTCGGTTGAATCCTACATGATGACGGAGAATCAATAGTGGAACATCCGGACAAGAGTCCAAGATTATGTTAAAACTCATATGCGACGCATTATTGGGAGACCTCAACCAGTTTGTCGGAATTCATGAAGGGAAACAGGAGCGGATCAGTCAGATACTATGAACTTGGCACGCCAGTCAACATTTGGTGCTAGGAGCGGTGGGTCAAATCTCCACTCCGGAATTCTGGGAAAACTATAGTTTATCCCCGCCGGCCCAGAATCCAGGAGACTTGTTGCTCTTTACTTCTGCGTACTCATTATGACGGGCTTAACGGAATACCGTCATTCAAGTGAATTTCCTTCAGAAGTATGGAATAAGGCGAATTGTCCTACTCGGTTCCGTCCACGAATCAGTCGTTATGCCTCGGTTGCTGATGATGCTTGCTGGGCGGTGCGAGATGATATGGTAGCGGCAGGAGGAAATGAAGCTATCACTCGAGGTGTTGGGTGTGTTGACCAAGTTTCTGGGAATGCAATGGCCATTTGGTTTCCAGAAGCGCTACCCGAGAGACTTTATATTGGCTCCTACATGATCGAATTTGCGTTTATGCATGATGGTAAGTATTGGTATTATTTTCAGAAGACTCGAGTTCTAATAGCACATGCTAGATCTTGCCGATAGTGCCGAAACCTCTGAAAAGGTACAATACCCGCCAGAAGTAGCAACATATAACTGACAGGCAAACAGTTTGACGAAAGTAATCAAGCCTTGATTGATTCACTAGAAATGAAGTCTCAAGATGAAAAGAAAAGTCGCAGAAATCTCATAATGAAGTCAACCCAAGCACGATTTGCTGTTGAAGCTCTGGACACCGACGAAGAAATTGGCACTTGGCTTATTGAGCAATGGAAAAATCAATTCAGCGTCAGCTCTGAACAACGGGACAAAGAGTATACAACAATTGAGGACTACTTGAACTTCCGGATCGTTGATGCTGGCGCAGAGTAAGTGGTATATCCTACAGAACAGTGACACTTGACTGATCTTTGTGCCAGCATATTTTTGGTAATGATGCGCTTCGTCTCCGATACGACAATTACTCGAGCGGAAGTAGAAAGTGTTAAATACATCTCCGATCTGATTCTATTTGCTCAAATTCTCTGGCACGACTATGCCTCTTGGGAAAAGGAAATTGAAGCTTTCGAAAGTGGACAAGCAGCTTCGTTAGTGAATGCAGTTTCGATAATTATGAAGAAACACAACGTGAATGCAGAAGAAGCAAAGAAACTTCTATGGGACGAAACGCTTAAGTATGAACAACGATATTGTGATGAGCGTGACCTTTACATCCAGAAGAATTCTCCTAGTCCAGAGCATTGTCGTTGGTTCAGACTTCTTGAACTTTCGACAGGTGGTAACGCGATATGGAGTTTTACTTCTCCGAGATACCATAAAGATGTGCCAAGACCTGTCCGCACTCGAAAGGCAAACAGCTCCACAGCTAGTGGAAATAACACAACCCAAACAGCACATAAGACTTCGAATGGGAGCAACAAATTCAATGTGAAAGGAGGTTCAAATAAGGTTGGGGCGAAGAGAAAGCTTTTGACGCCTGACACGTCAGAACCGGAAGAGGAGAGCGATGCGCCACGAGAAAAGAGAGTTCGAATCAATGGACCGCCATCCGAACATGGAGGCAGCCACCCAGTCAAAACCAACGAGGACCTGCATAGAGACATTGACGAAGATTCCGTAAGAAGTTCTAAGCCCGAACGTTTGACATAAAATTGAATTTTTCTAGGTGACGACCGAGCCATACAAATATATTTCCTCGCTTCCAGCAAAAGGAGCTCGGGATCAGTTAATCGACGCCTTGAATACGTGGTACAACGTTCCAGATGGAGCTGTTACAATTATTCGAAGAGTTGTTGAGATAATGCACAACGTTTCTTTGATGTAAGGGTCATTCATTGCTATAGGAAATGTGCACATTTGCTAATCCTAGTCCTCCTCAACTAGGCTTGATGATATTCAGGATAACTCCCCAATGCGACGAGGTTTTCCATCAACCCACATTGTCTTTGGCCAAGCTCAAACAATTAACACATCTACCTTCATGTATACCAAAGGACTTGAAGCTGCTTCAAAACTCTCCCCGAAGGCTTTCCTTGCTCTCATTGGTAAGCTTAGAACCCCATATCGTACTCTACCCGAATGTCTTGCTGATAGTGAATAGAGGAGCTGAAGCAGCTTCACATTGGTCAAGCTCATGACTTGCATGAAACTTACCACTGCAACCCGCCTTCTGTGCCGGAGTATTTCAAACGTATTGAGCAGAGTAAATCCCTCCTTTCACCTTAGCAGTATAGCGGGCATTACCTAACCGCTTCACAGAAACGGGAGGGCTCTTTCGCATGGCCTCAAAAATGATGCAAGCCGAAGCCACTAACAATACTTCTCTCAGTACCGATTCTTTGATGAACATACTTGGCCGGTACTACCAGATAAAAGATGATTACCAGGATATCACTGGCACTGTTCGTAGCCCCTCCCTCAACTACCTAACCTTACGTCGTAACTCAAAGTAACGTTTACCTTCCAGTCAATAGGCAAATCCGCAAACTATGGCGATCTAGATCAAGGCACTTTTACGCTGCCTTTTATGCATGCTTTGCAAAAACAGGAACAGAAAGGCAGCACCGAGCTCCTGAGTATCTTCCAAGCAAGGAGAAATACGAACAATATGAGTAGTGAAATGAAGAAACTTGTTCTACTGCGCTTAGAAGAAGCCGGGAGTCTAAAATACACGAAAGATATGCTCACCGGGCTTTATGATGAGCTAAAGCACGAGCTGAGTGTAGTTGAAGAGCAAGCTGGTAGCAAGAACTGGATCCTGCGGCTTCTTCTGCACAAACTAAAGATCTAACTAGCAAGAATTTAGATGATATTCGGGTTGGGACCTTGGATACATGATTTACATGGACATTATTTCATTTGGAATTGGATACCCTTTAGATAGGTTAGATTTTGGGTTATTGGCTTTTTGGCGGCTTTTTGGTTCCAGCGCGGAGATACCACAGCACCAGTTTCTGGGACATGCTAGTACGACTGATGACTATAGATATGCACTTTAGCTAGATAGATAATTTCCTCAATAAACCATCTCCTTTGTATCATTCTCAACTACAAGCATAAAGAGAACACAGTCGTTCGTGCCACTTTACGAATCCGACTTACGAACTCGAACGATTCTCGGGTTTATGAACTTCTTAAGACTTTAGCAAGAAGGGAGGCACTAACGCTATCCATCTTTGTGCATCCAGCCATTGTGCAGGAAGGGTGTGACTCCTTATCGATAACATCAAAAGTCCACGCTTAATCTTTGGTACCCACAAGTACAGCAGTTGAAAATTTTGCAATTATCCCACCATGTAAAATCCAAGCAATATAGTTTGGTTAGAGCCTATCATACATAAAATTGGGTTTTGCAAGGAAATAAAAAATTCAAAATATCTTGCGCAAAGCTTTTTCTTTTGTGAGTTTGTCCAAAAAATGGTATCAAGGAGAATAGTCAGCACCAAAAATTTTCCGCGCCGGGGAGTCGAACCCCGTGCTCCCGCGCACTGTATTACAGAATATGAGAGGCGGAAATGTTACCGGTACACCAGCGCGGAATTTTGATGTTTGGTACAGTGACTCTGCTTATTAGAACCCATGAAGTACATATGGTAGTATTTCGGATGTGGCTTTGATTCTGTGGGGACGATATCTCATTAGCTCATAGGATACAAAGAGTGACTCACACTAACTAGGCAATAGCTTTGATCGTGAAACATTTTTTAAGCCCTTTGGGTCTTTACGACATATTCAAATGGGGTTCTATCCAAGGTCTTTTGCTAAGGCTATAACGCTGCCTCACACCCAGACTAGTTAGTGACAACCACCGCCAATGCATTACTACACCACTATACTTCTTAATCCCTCTGTCTATTATCATTTAAACACCTTCGACCTCAAGTATACGTGTACCTACTCATAGCTCATGATCTCTAAACATAAACATAAAACTCAAGTTCTTTAAGGACCAATCCTTTACATCTCAACCCCCTCCCTCTTACTCACTTGACTTTCTTCTCCCCCTTAACCATTCCTGCCACCCTTCCTCCCACCCATAACCGCACCCCAGGTCTCCAAAAAGAATCCTCTCGCTTCCCAGGTCGGCAGTATAGCACAAGTAAACAACGCAAAGAAAACCCATATAAAACTCACTGCCACCCATCCCTTAAAAAACCCAACACTGAAAATATAATGAGACAAAAACATGGGGATAGGAATTATGAAGTCCATGAGGAGGGTGAGAACCGTGGCGGAGATGCAGGCAAATTTGAAGGATGAGCGCAGGAGGGTGGGATCTTCAAGGATTGCTTGGTCTTTGGTGAGGGCAGGTAGGGCAGAGGGGATGGTGTTGTGAGAGAGGGGGGGAGAGGGGTTGGAGGGGGAAGTGGCGAGTTTTTTCTCGGGGTCAGAGGAGAGAGTCGTTTGGCGAGGTGATGAGGTTCCGGATTGAGTGGCGGGGGTGGTTCCGATGGAGGCTGATGAGTTGATGCCGCGTGTGATCTCCCAGTCAAAGTCATCTGGCTTGATGTAGCTCACCACAACTGAAACGATCAGTCCGCCAAGAACAGCTGCCATGTTCCCAGCTAAAGTTGGGTAAGAAGCTCCAGTCGTAGCAATGGTAAGTTCACCATAGTACGTCTTCGCGCACACAAGCCATGCGGTCAATCCAGCTGCCATACCGCATCCACATCCAGCCATGGCGCCGTATTTGGACTGCTTCTTCCACGTTACTGTCAACGCGGCTGGGAAAACTCCTCCAATCAATAGACCCATTGTTAGGAATAGCCAACCCAGATCAATGCCGATTACATTCCATAGGCATGCGAAGGCAGCCATGATAAGTCCGAATACACAGATCATGATATGAGAGACTCGGATGAGCTGCTCTGGGGTAGCGAAAGGTTTGAGGTACATTTTGTAGATATCGAATGTTAAAATTGACGAGACAGCAATGAGTTCTGAGGATGAGGATGATGTCACGGCCATGAAGAGTGTCAACAGCAATGCGATAGCTCCTGGTTTTCCGAGGAGTGCTACAGCTGCGAAGGGTGCTGATAGCCCGGAGGAGACTTGGGACGAGGTCATATTGTTTGGGTACGTGGGGTATGCAGGATTGTTTGTCAGTGCTACTGCCGCAAGACCGAGAGTACTGGCAAAGCCAAAAGGGATGGCAAACCAGGCCATACCACCCAGGATGTAGGCTCGAACAGCGGTTGTGGGGCGGCTAGCGATTGCTCGTTGCCAGTATCCTTGGTCGAGGAAGACTGTCCCCATCCCTGAGCAGAGTTGGATGACGCCGAAAATGAGACCAAAATTGGATTTGAGAGTTAGGTAAGAACCATCTTGGTTTCCCTCTACTGGTCGAAGCTTGGAGGCTTCAAGTAGGAGGTTAAACATATTAGTCGGGGAGCCGATCAAGTGATTTGATGTGTAGACTGAGAACATGAAGTATAGAATGATGATCATGACAATGAATGTGTGAGTATAGTCGCCTATTACAAATCAGACCTTGAACTTTGGTTGGAGAGTCAATGCATTGAAAAGCGAGAAACTCACAAAGAAATGTAGCGCGAAGCCCACCCAAAACGACATAGACACAGACTCCTAGCGGAATCAAGAAAATTGCAGCATAAACATTCATCCCAGTCAGGGCTGTGACAACAGCACTTCCTCCCAGTAGTAACTGTGATGCTACCAGAATATTGGTGAGTAAAGCGAAGAAAATGAAGATGATATGTGTTGCTGTTCCATAACGACAGTGGATAATCTCAAGAAAAGTATGGCACCTGGGCGCATTCTGCTTGACTTTGCAAGCTAGGACTGCAAACATGAAAATTTGGACTGTGGCCCCGGCGGCATCTAAGAGGGGCAAAATGTTAGTGTTGAAGGTTTAAGGGTCGGATAGTTTTCACGTACACTACATAATCGTTAGTATATATTGAAAATGATACATGAATGTGGCTCACCCAGAACGGTCCAGAAATGCCATATGTATAAGCAACAGTAGAACTCTGCAGTAAAGTTGCCGCCCAGGTCCAAGCTGAGACAATCCCAGAAGCAATTAGCCCCGATTTCACACTCCTACTTGCCGTGTTGAACTCTTCACTTCCTTTTGTGGAATACCTGGTATATCGGTTCTGTTTGCCTGTCAATATTTCAATTCCACAATTTGTTTACGGGACTAATTATACCTGGATATACGATATCCCAGCCATGAGAAAAGCAAAGAAAAACTATTATATGTCAGGAATGCTTTGATTTATCTCTATCAAGGTGGTGGTAAGGTTACCCCAATGCCGACAACAACCCCATACCCCGCTCCTTGGGGAAGGACAGGTGCTATTGTGTCGCTGGCCATAATGATGGGATTTTGCTCATAAGCGATGACCAATTTAAATTCACCTTCGGAGCGCTTCAAAAATAACGGAGAAGGTTGAAGAATTCGTAAGAAGAACAGTCGAAATATAAGACTGTTAGCATTAATCGCTCAAGCACCGCCTAGTACCAGAAGCTTCCAAAGGGAACCACATCATAACGTAGTCGAGATCAAGGGTATTACAGCAGTCAGGTCGCCGCGGCGGGCGAGATAAGCGCAAGGCATCACCGTTCGCGGAAGACTTGAGCCAGGAAATTATAACAGTTTTATTGATCCTTGAAATATAAGTGCCGAGTGTACTTCGTGATAGGATGACCCAATGCTGGAAGTGGAGTCGCATGGTGGGGAATTATAAGTACAAAGATAAAACTTATTCAAGCTAACGAGAGTATTTATTTGGCTTGGGGGGCTCAAGGCAAGGGAAAAACTTTGACTTTGTGATATTACTGCTTGAAAGTCAATATTAAAAGAAGATTTATTTGTAGTTCATAACGATCTGCAGATTTTAAAGGCCCAAAAAGGCATATAGAGAAATCTGATAGATCCCAAACCACTAAGCAGAATTATGATCAGCTGGTATAATAATATTGTCGTCGTAAATTACCAGTAAAATATGTTAAATTTTGTAAGATAACGGTAGGGAAAACCTCGTTCTCTATCGTGGGGGACTAGAGTAGGGCGATCTTCGAACAACGTTACCAAGTTATAAGAAATTAACCAATTAGTGGCCTGCTGTTGGATAACATCGAGCAAGCATATGCAAGTACTACTATCGTACGATAAAAAGGAACCCATCAGAGACTTGCCTAATAAATGCACGGAGGAACGAACTACAAACAGAGACTACAGTAAGTAAAAGTCTCAGCAGGCGTGAGAATGAAAACTAGTGTGAATACATATTCGAGATATCAAAGTCTTATTGCAGTGCAAAATCTCTACCACTGTAGTTGAGATTTCACGAACCATGAGCTTATTTGTGTAGCAATATTTTTAGGGGGCCTCTAGCATGGGTAACTTGCACAGTAACTTACTGCCTAGGAGCTCGTCAAACTCTACCGGAACGCCGAAAATTTGATATCAAGGTTCTCTCGGAGTTGAAGAATTCCTTATCGACCCAAATATTGAGCGTTTTCGAAGGGTCTTGCCCTTTACCCCTACGATTTCATAGGTACTGAGAAATTCCAGGTTTGAGAATGTAGCGTTACATGTATGCAAACGTTTGATGCCATGGCTTGATGGCTTTATCATTTGTGGAGAATGTGCAACTGAACAGGTCTCCCCCCCACTTTCGAGGATATTCGGTGATAAGAACACCTTTGTGCCTTAGCGAAAGAGGTATGGTTGTACTAACTTGGAAATCACATTTTAGGAAGGTAAAAACAATCTGTAGAGAAATGGTGATCTTACTCTAAACGGAAGTAGTGGTATTATTCGTGATTTTGTGGGGCTTGTGGAACACACAACTATAAAAATTTACCTAGCTATTGTCACTGTGGTGATACCAAGGAGATAGGAGAGACTCATATTATAGTTTGAAAATTGTAGAAAAGAATTTTGAGATTGAAGGGAAATAGCAATGTATATATAAGTAGTAGACAACAACAAATGAGACCTTACTTGCTTTTCAGACCTGACTTCGAAAGCTATGCGAAATAGTTGGATCACGCACAGTCAGTAGGAATAATTTCAGATAGTACAGAATCAAATATCCAACAATGAAGTTTGGGAAGAAAGTATTCGCGAACATAAGGTAATTTGATGCTTTTTGATGGTCCAAGTCACGTCACCAGCGGTTCAACCTTTGCAGCGGAGGAACCCAATGATAATTTACATCCTTTCACTCTAAAGAACTTTACTTTTGACTTAACAGGCCCAGATCTCTCAGTAAGGCTCAATCGACAAAGAATCAACGTATGGATACATTTTAAAGATTAACTGATGGAAGAACAATTGCGCCCTTAATGGTAAACCACGATAGATGCAAGCCTATATTTTCGACGGAGAGATATTTTGACAAGTTGTGCCTTATTTTGCTCACCGCAAATCCGCTGTAGCTGCTTTGCCACAAAATTTTCAATGAAGACGAACTACTGCTCAAAATTGTGCTTTTCGATCCATCGAAGCGCGCTCGCACCTGGATGGACAAAATAACTAAGGAGACAAAATGTGAAATTGTTTCCT